CGTACCTATATAAATAATTCTAAAATACTGTGAACTAGGATTTGTGCTGTTATACTAAATGACAAGATGTTATCTGATGACATCCGGCGCGTGAAGCGACGACCGGGTGACAAATCCCACAATAGGCCTAACCGCAGGATGACCATGTATGGTCATGTACTCATGTGAATCTGTGGAAGGGACTGGAGAGACCCATCGAGGAGAGCTGATGGACAAGCTTTCATCAGACGAGCAACCAGCCTCAAATTGAACAGTCACTAAATACTCATAGTCACTTCTCTCTTATTCAATAAACATAATTATTTGGACTTAGAATATTTTCCATAACACTGTTTACATTAAATAAATACAATGATATCATCAAAGAGGTTTTGTTCAATTATTACTTCCATTTCTACGAGTAACGCGAAGTAGCACGTTACAATACTAAACCAAAATATATATAAAACTTTATTGATATTTATAGAAAAAAAAACTAAAAAATAGTGAAAGCTGTAAATATCCGTAAACAGCTCAAAAACAGTCAAAATATTTTCAAAATTGTATGGTGTATAGGAAATGCTAATATAAACATTCAGTGAAATTGTCATGTATCTATAATTATTTGTTTTTGAATTACAACAAAATAAGGAAATCGCTACATGAGAAAACGAGTGTTGTAAACATTTGAATTTCAAACGCTCATAAAAATTTAATTTTACTTTCCGGTAGAGATTTTTTATTGATAAAGGTAGACAATCTTATGAGTAAACTCGTATTAGATTTTCAAATCTTAGATTTAAAAAGAAAAATTTTTAAATTTTAGATTTTTCCATATTTTGTCAATTTTTGAACTTTAAATGCTTATAAAAAAAAACTGTGACTAACGATTTTTAATATTTTTCATCTACCTTTGAAACAATATACTAGGAGCCGTCTATTAAATTTTCAAGTTTTTTTAACCAACAAATAAAATTTTATTGATATTTCTAGAAAAAAAACTAAAGAAAAATGAAAAATGAAAATGTCCCTAAACAGTTCAAAATAAATCAAAATATTTTGAAAATTTTATCGTGTATAGAAAATGCAATTGCATGCGTTTGTCGAATGACGAAGAGCAAGTTGAAAAGCAAGTGGAATCGACTGTCGAAAACGAAAACGCACTAGTGTGGACATATCTAAACGTATACAACGACCGAGAGAACGCGCTGTTATGTGTTTTTGCGATAATTTTTAAATGACAGTGTTTGGGTATTTTTACTTATCAAAGCTATCTATTATTATTTATAAGATGCTACCTTTCTACAAAAATACGATGAACATATTATGAATTTGATAATAAAGAAAATAATAGTTACCGGTTAAGTTTTTTTACCATAGTCTTTATCCAAAACTTCTCCATCACAATTTATTTCTTGGATATTATTAAGTAAAATATAAATAAATGGGTGGGAAGGGAGTTCTGTATCGCACCTAAGAATATTAGTAAAATATACTGTAAATATATTATAATACCTACCAGACAGAATTTTAGATACGATAATATACATTATACAGTCGTTATAAGTTATTAATAATTTATTGAATACATAATATCTATATTAAACATATTTTTTTTTTAACTTTTAATGGCTTTAGACGCCAAGGCTTGAATTAATAAAAAACAAAAAACATATTTAATATTTTTTTTTCAATAATTTTGTCTGTTTTTTTTCTATTGCTTTTTCCATGTTATCTTTGATATGCGGGGATCGACGATATCACTTTTTAGTAATCGTTTACTAAATCGCGGATCAACGATTTCCAAAAGCAAATATTCTTCATAAAATCTAAAACAATAATTATTTTATACCATAATTACTTGTTTATGTATTAAGTTGTAACTACTATTCAGTGTTATAGAATAGGTTATAAGGACTAGGGAGTAGACATATTATTATTCTTCTTTTTCTTCTTGGGTATTAACTTGCACTTTCCATCTTAAACGGGGTAGTCCGCATTTATTGCATATAATAATATTTGTTAGGAGTAAAACTAGAATAAAATGAGTTATCTATTGTTTATTTATACTTATTACTTACAATGTTAAATATGGTTCCATTTTTGTTTTCAAAAGGTTTCGTTATATTTTATTTCCAGTTTGGTCCATTTTGGGGTGAAAATAAAAAAGTAACATGAGTTTCGTCCTGTTATATGCATTTGGCCCTGTATTTGGTAATAGTAGCAACTATCCTCTTTCAAAACAATATCACTGTTCTTAACCACCATATAAGGCACCTTTAATTAAATTAAATATACTATTGTAAGTTGTATAAATTAATAAAGTCAAAAATAAATAATATCTATGTATTAATTTGATATTTTAAAATATTAACTTTTATAAAATATGATTAAGAATAATTATGTTACCTTTTTTTCAAGAACAGCCTGTTCTAAACTATCATAGTCTTTTACAGAAAATGGACATTTTATTTCAACTGTTAAGTCATTTTCAACTAACCCATCTTTTTCTAAAAGAAAAAAAAATTATACAATGAAAATAAAATAATATATAGGTGCAATGTGCTAGGCTCTTAAATTAAATTAATTAGGTATACATTTTTACCTGGCTTTGCTCCAAGGTATGGCTTACGTTCATCAATAAATAGTCCACACTTTTGAATAGGTTTTTGTATTTGTTTTTCTAAGTTTTTTAACGCTGAATCTTCTGATAGTTTGCCATATTCCATTGCATTTGTTTGTGGATTACCATACAATATATTATGCATCATAGCTTTACAAGATGTGGTAGGCCGCATTTTGCATACTTTACCGAAATTAGAGGCCGTTAGTCGGTTTCTTCTTTCAATAAACCAATTATTATTGTTAGCTTGATTCCTTGTGTCAAACTCTATTTATTTTTTTTATCAGTTGCTGAAATATTTAGTGATTTTATAAACTCTGATTTCTTTTTTTTTATTTCATCATCGGACAAAAAATCAGTTATAGGCTGGGCTAAACCATAATTTTCATCTGGTCCATTAGAAGTTGTTTTTGCTTTATATTTTCCTGAAGATTTAAAAATTGCTCGCCGGTGTTTCAAATTTTTTCTTTTGTCTGACGTGTATTTTAAAAATTTTTTGCGATAATTCCTACGAAAATTTAATTATTAACAAAAAAATATTCAAATTTGATCACCTATACCAGGTAATTATTTGAAGTGTTTATAATCATTATTTAGTAAGGTTCTAATTTTTTTGAAAATATTTAATAATTTTATATTGTTACAAAACAACATTTTTATTTAAAAAGATGAATTTTTTTAGATTTTGAGAGGAGTGATGGATATATTTATTTTACAATGTTTTTTATTATTAATTTATTTTTAATTTTTATCTAAACAAATTTTAGATTCATGGCATTGTCACTGAATGTTTATATTAGCATTTCCTTTACAGCATACATTATTCAAAATATTTTCACAAGTTTTGAGTAGCAGTTTACGAACTTTTTTTTTCTATATATGACAATAAAATTATATTCGTTGGGTCAAAAATCTTGAAGAATAGGCTCATAATATATTGTTACAATAGCAGTTGAAAAATATTAAAAATACATAGGTAAAATTTTCTTAAGTTATAACTTTTCGAAGTAATGAGTGTAGACATTCACATATTTCACACACTCTATATAAGTTTATATAAATGTATTCTATTAGCTATTACAATATTTTATATTTTATATTTACTAACCTGGACTTTTATTAGTAATTTTTTTTATGGATCTCCCGTATAAAATTACCACCCGTGTTGAACGATACTACCGCTGTCTGTACTCGGGTGTTGTATGACTGTTTTTGACTAAAATTTAATATTTTTCCTGCTATGTGCTTATTGATAATGTTATTATATTGTTCGCAGTGATTATTGTCAACGTCTAAAACCAAACTTTTTGAGTGGTCGGCTACACGGCGAATAACAGAATAAATGTCACTCATCAAACCACATTTGGTTACTTCAGATACTAAATTTAGTTCCCCTAGTTTTTGTCTTTTACAAAAATATGAATTACAGTTTGTATGTTGGCCGAAAATGTGATACGGACTGTTAAGAATATCCTTCCGTAGTTCTGGAATATTCATTAATCATATAGGTATATATAATAGTAAAAATTATATATTTTATTGTAATTATATTTTTTTTTGAAAACTTGACAGTTAATGTTATTTTTGTAACTTCTTAAAATAATACAAACCTTCACTTTTTTTACTAAACGTTTCATTTGTAATTTTTCTGTGTCTTATTGCTCTTGTAACAGCAATTCGAAATCTTAAAATATTTCTCGATATGAATTTTCTTATGAAGGAAGGATATTTAGTAACTCTTGTTAAGTTCATAAGCTTTTGACAGTAGTTTCGAAGGATATGGTTTCTACATTCTACTTTTTCTATGAGAAACTTAGGTCCGTATGGCATAACTTCGTGCAATCTTTTGGTGACACTGCTATCACCATCCCCTGTCGAACAAAATAATTTTTTCAATGATTATTGTGACTAAAAAGGTAATATATAATAAGATTTAATAAGTTAATTTTAATTTTTACCAATTATTTTATTAAATTTCAACCCATGCGTTTCAATGCTGTTCAGAAATCCCTCTGTAACCGCATCGGCTTCGATGCTGGTAGCTCCTTTTCTCCAATTCAAAAAACACTTATGAGGACTTGGAGACTGTCGAATGGATTTCGCTCTCTCACATATTACGCAATATCTGTTGCGAATACCAACGAACAATATTTTTTTAGTCCTAAAGCCTATAATTGTTGCCTATAAAGTATAACATAATTATTACAAATAAGTTATAAGTTAGTAACAATTAAAATGAAAAATAAATAATAAAATGTAAAAAAATTAATAATTATTCTATATACTATATAGGAGTGCCATTTGGTGGGGAACAGTATGTGTATTAGAACCCCTATATTTTTTGTCTGTGTTTTTTTGTGTGTTACAAAATGTACAAATGCAACTATATGACCTAAACTTAAAGTTTAAATACATTATAAAACATTCTTACTGCTCCTGAAAATGCGTCGTATTTTGTCTTGTAACTCCTTTTACTCCATTGTCCATCCGCGATTACTGGACACATAGGTATGCCATCAATATCAACATAATTTGCTTCAAGTGCCAATTTCTTTTCTTCAATCCCAGCCTGCTTCATAACATTCCAAGCAGAAGCTTCTATATCTTCACTTAACACATCACTATATTTAATATAAGTAGTAGGAGCCATTCATGGTATATCTAAGCACGCAGTTGAGTAAATCCTATACCGATTGCATATGTACCATTTATAACGGCTTTATTAATCGGTACGTAATCCAAGTCATTTTTTTCCGATTCAATCGTTGTTAATAAGTTACACATTTTACATTTAAAAATCCAAGTCGTCTCGAAACCTTTTTTTATTTCATTTACGAGTTCTTCATTTATGAATGAACATCCTAAACCAGGAGTATGTGTTTTAGAATTTAGAATTTGCATTTGAGAAAATATATACCGTAAAACGGGGTGAATAGAAACACTTTTGAACTTTGAAGTATCATAAAAACTTTTCTATTTGGGCTATATAGATGATCAATACATCAAAATACTGGTCTCATTGAGCACTTTAAGTGTGTATATTCAAATTGTCTTTTTGTTAAACAGATTATTTTATATATTTTTTTAAGTGCTTTGTTTCTATTCCCCCGAAAGATGGTGTCAATAGACATATATGGTTTTTAGTGTATTTTTCTATTTTACTAATCGAAGGGTTGATAGAAACAAATATTTAGATTTTTAAAAATAAAGAGAACAATATTTTGAATCTAAAACTTTTTTTTTTTTTTTTTTAATTCAAATATTTAATAAAAAAAAAAATAGAACAAAATAAAATACAATTTGCATAGTTAATTTTAATTATGCAAATTGTATTTTATTTTGTTCTATTTTTTTTTTATTAAAATATTTGAGTAAAAAAAAAAAAAAAAATTATATTTTTTTTTTTATAAACATTTTAACAAATAAGAAAAAAAATATAATAAAAGTCACTTATCATTAAAAATAGGTCCCATGATAACAGTGTTTCTATTCACCCCTAAAATGGCAGAAGTCAGTTTAACCTACATAGTTAAATGGTTAATTAATTTTATTAAATAATACTTACGATTTATAAAACTTAACAATATTTATAATAAATTAGAACAAGAAAAATTAAAATTTTTTAAATATTTACCTGTTAACAAGAACCGTTGATTTACGTAATAATTTAGAAGGATTATTATCAGTTGTTGCTTATCAATTTTTATCCGTATGGCGGTAGAGATAAACGGAACGTTTAGAGTTCATCGAATTTCATACAAATTTGTTTTCGATTTAGTGAAGGTTTCATATTGATAACACGAATATTCAGTCGGGGAGACGTCGAAGTAATAACTTTCTTGATTTTGTTTCTATTCACACCATCGTTTATATCCACGATTCTCCTTCCTTCAAATGAATTATTAGACACGATATAATAAAGCAAATTAGATATTTAAAAACTACAATACTTTATTATATTTTCACTCAGTTACAGTTATTTTAAAACAATTATAATTATGAACTTACGAGATTTCACTTTCCATCGATATTTCAATATTATGGTTTTGTGTGTCTAAAATATTTATTTCACTAAGCTCGGTAAAACTAGAAATAGTTGTATTAGTTGATGTTTCATATGAAATATTTTTGCTCATATTTTAATTAGATGATAAAATATTTTCATTTATTTATTTTATTTTTATTATAAGAATATTTGTTTATTAGTACCTATTTATTTTTTTGTTCTTATATAGTTAAATATATATATTATACAAATATATCAATAATTAAAATGATAACATATCACATATATATACATATTTTTAGAAAACCACGATTAAAGATATATCTTTAAGCGTGTAGAAAACTACAGAGTTGACGTATTCATGTTGGCTTTTTGAGTCTGAGAATAATTACTTTCAACAAACGTCATAACCGATTGAATATTTTCACTAATATTTAAATTGGATATTGACGTATTATTTTCCAGCTCTCTAGTTTCATCAGCGATTAAACTGAAATTAATTAGGTAGTCAAATAAAATAAAATAATTATAGTTTCGTACCTACTTTATAGCAAATTTTTTTTTATTATTAGAACAAACAAAAATATAGGCTTGATCGAAGGGGGTCAAACGATCCTACTTCTGCTACTTCTGATGTATATCTATTATAATTTATATTAGATTTTGAGCGGAGCGATGAATCTATTGATTTGACACTGATGTGTGTTCATTTTAATTTTTTAATTTTTGTGTCTGTCATCACCGTTTGGGGCAGTAGAACTGCTTGGTTTTCTTCAACAGTATCTTGTTCGATGCGTAAGTGAATCAAGTTGGTGCATTTGGGAGGTCAAAATTTAAAATTCCCAATAGTTTTCTAAACCACAGGATAAAACAAAATAAAAATTGAGGAAAAACTGAAATTTTTAAGCAAAATCAATTTTCGACAAATTGAATTAATAAGGATGGTGAATCAGAGGTTTTTTTGTAGTGTATCGAAGGAAAACTCATAGTTATCCTCGTATTAAATTTTCTAATCTTAGGTATAAGTACTAAAATGTTTATGAGGTATAAATTATAGAATAACTTGCTAATTTTCGTGATTTCGACATACCTAATAATTATTTTGTAAAAATTTGAACTTTAAACACTTATAAAAAAAAAAAACTGTGACTAACCAATTTCGATTTTTTTTGAATTGGTACAATAAATAAGCACAACTTATGAGAAACTTTTTATTAAATTTACAGGACTTTTTGGACTAAATAATTTTTTTAATCGTCATTTAAAAAAAAAAACATAAAAAACGAAAATTTCAATTTCCATAAAAAATGTCAAAATACTTTGAAAGTTATACCATAAATATAGATATGATGCCCATATTAACACTTGGTGAAAATTTCATGTACCTACCTAGGGTTTTTACTTTTTGAGTTACGGCCAAATATAAAAATATATTTTGTCAAATAGGTATCTAAGTTTTGCGTAAAAATTCGGTTTTTTCCTTCACTTTATTTTGGATTTTCCTGACGCATGTGACAACTACCTGGAATTATTCACTTTTTGTCTCTATAAAGTACCAAGGATATTCACTTTGCTCAACCGGAAACCACCCCATTGAAGTTGAAAATTGAAGCATTATTTTGAAAAGTTATCGTGTACACAGTCATAAAAAAACAATATTGTAAAATCAATACATTTATCACTATCCGTTCAAAATCTAAAAAAGACGAGCGTAATACCCAATGGCTAAATATTCTTATGAGTAACTAAATTAAAAAAAATTTATGAAATTGAAAATTTTACTGTTAAAATACCGATTCCTACTCAAACGATTTTATAGTTTAGTTTTTTTTTTTTTTAATTCAGTCATGGAAACTTGAAACTTTCACCAATTATTTAAATTTGTATTTTCTTTAAAAAGTATATTTTTCAAAATATTTCACTTAATTTTAATCTATAATATAATGCATTTAGATATAATATTATAAGTATTAAGTAGTAGATTTTTTTTTAAATGTTGATCAACATTTTTTTCTTTCAGTCAATGTACTTGAAATGTTTACTACCTACACGAATACACGATTTCACATAAGTTGTTCTTACTGTAATTAAAAAATATATACAAATATCCAATAGATATTTAAAATATTTTTTTATACAATTTTTAAGTACAATTTTGAAGTACATATTTTAATTAAATTATTTACAATGTGATTTTCAAAATATTTTTATATTATTTTAACCTGCAGTATGCAATTGCCAATCCACCCTAATTGAAAAACAAAATACTTGTATCAAAATAAAAGATATAAAAATTTAAATATAGTATAAAATCCCCGTCAGTGCAGATTTTTAACATTTTTATGGTGGGGAGGGAAAGGGCTAAAAAATAATATGATAGTATTTCAAAGGTATTATTTTTACAGACCCCTGGAACCCCCTAAATCTGCCCGAAACTGGAATCGTTATTAGAATCGTAGAGTAGAATAGAATTATTTTAATTTATTTATTGAACGGGTAGAGCCCTAAATATAATTATTTTATTTTATTTTTCTATAAACGTTCAAGCAGACAATGAAAGTATTTACATTTCTAACATTTCTAATATATAATATAATTTATATTTGTATATACTTACTTAATTTTTTTGTTTCGTCGTAGTGAAAGGGAACTAGTGATTTTGTTTTAGATGGGCGTTTCCGTTTCTGCTTATTTTCTTTATTTGCCATTGTCAAAAAAAATGGAAAATAATAATACAAAATTCACAAAAAAAAAAAATTGAACACGACGACACAGAAATCCCGAAGAAATGATGTGATCACAACGAATTACCCAGGAGGAATGGTTGTGACGGTTGTGTAATATGCATCAAAATTGAATATTTATTTTTGTCCAATTTTAGAAAATACAGCTATTCATAGTCTCATATTGTGACTTCCGCTTACATAATTGATAATTCGTAATGAGTATAGGATTAGGGACTTCTAGGAGTTTGCATGTTTTTCAATAATCATTCAAAACATAGCTAAGTAACAGGAATTTGTTTAATAACAATACGAGTTTATAATCAAAATGTATGGTTGCATATTTTACATATTTGACCATTTTTAATTTAAAAGTGCATATTTACTTTGACATTTTATTTTTTTATTTTTGTTTAATTGTCATAATAGGCATACTTGTGTAAAAATAAAATAATAAATACTTATACCAATAGTATTTTTTACCAGCAACTTACCATAATGTATAGAATGTATTCCGTATGAAAAGACGGATATTTATTAGGTGGTGTAGGTACTTGAGTTATTATAAATTATGCATAGGACTTTGAGGTAGATACCAGGTATACCTACTATCTGAAAATATTAGAATGTCCGTAATAATAATAATTTATATAATTTATAATATTATAAAATAGTAAAGCGAATAAGAGTTGGTAGATCGTAGGTGGAATGCTATCAATCGTCAATGCCAATTTTAATATTATAATAAAAATAAAAACAATTATTATTAGATTATAGGGAAGATGCGACGTTATTAGCTTATAAAAATTGTCATTTTATAGTATTAGATAATAATGATATTGTTTATATTAGTTCGGTCTATTCCTGGAAGCTTCCGATAACCATCGACCGACCGTCACCGCGCGATAGTCGTAGCAAATA